CTTGTTCTCAAGTAGCTTCAGAGTTTAACAGATAATTTATTATTGGTTGGTCTGAAACAGTCAAACATTCAGCAGTTTGAGATGAAGACTCTCAAACTTTTATGGAACAAAAACTCCTGCTGTTCAAAACTTTGTATTTAATAAATATTTATAAAAAAAAATCCTGTGTAAAAATTTAATAAATAAAACAAATTTTGTGTGTCTTTCCACAGTGTAAAATCACCATGCAAAGAGATACAGTATGTGTACAATGTAAACTCAAATGTGACAGCAGCAGCGTGATGTTTCAAAAATAGCCTTTTGGACCCATTTTATAATATAAGCGTGCGACTTTTTCATTAAAAGATGTTCTGTGTGTAATGTATACGCCACAACAAAGTTGATGAGTAAATGAAAAAGTTCAGCTCTAAACCAGAGATACGATAATCACAGGAAGCCCCTTGTCTGTATAGTTTACTAAAACAAAAGTTTTAAGATGACAGAAACACTTATCAGAGAAAAAGTAAACTTTGTGTTTGTCTTGACAGATAGGTCAGTTGTGCATGTGTGTGGGTGGGTTGGGGTGGAGCAGGGGGTGTTCACACAGAAGCCTCTCAGGATCAATTAGCCAGTTGATCATAACATGTTCAAGTAACACTGTTTCTTCAGAGAAAAACAAATGTCTTGTGGGAGAAGGAGTAGAAAAAACACCAGAGTTCTCTTGAGGCCAAATAAGAGTGTACAGAGGGAACATGATGGAATTACCAAGGGTCACCACAAGTGTTTGTTATGTTATTAAGAAAGTAAAAAATAAGTCAACCATGAAATCCATGATGCATGTGAAAGTTTTCATGAAGTTTTATTTGGTATTGTGAAATTACCTCCATTACTGATATTTTTACAACTAAGTTCTTCTGATACTTGGATTATTGTGCTGCAGATCTTAATGGAGCTATGAAACTAACATCAGTCATATTACTTCTACTAATATTCTCAGTAGGCCTACCACCTAAATGCATATATTAATCATTGGTTGACATAATTGATTAACGTTTGGAGGTGCCACCACAGCTAATCGGGATTAGCCAGTTTAAAGGGTTACACCTTAGTCAACATTACAAATATTGAGTTAAAACTTGTTGGGGCTGTAGCTCAGCATAATACCCAATGAACACCTTGAAAACTAACAGATCATGCAAAATTTCACAATATCAGGCCTTCTATGCTCTTGCATGAAAGCCGACAGACAATATGCATTCATTCAGGTTGCTGATCAACAAGAAGTGAGTGATTCTGGGCTGTGGGAGGAAACCTGAGTGGTTAGAAAAAAACACATACACAAACATGAAWATCCAACACACAAAGGCCTCAGCAAAGAGTGGAACCCAAGAACTTCTTGCAAGGCCAATTGATGACAGCATTCAGTGGTAGACATTACTGCAGTGGAATTAATTAATTTATTTGACTGATAGAAAATGTCCATCCATCTATTTTCTGCACACGCTTATTCCTTTCAGGGCCGCATGGGTCACTGGTGTCCATATCCAACAGTCACAGTGCAAGGGGCAGGGTACACCCTGGTTAGGTCACAAGTCCATCACAAGGACACACAATCATTCACTCTCTCACTCACACCTAGACACAATTTAGAGTTACCAATTAACCTAACAGTCATGTTTTTGGTCTTTGGGAGGAAGCCAGAGTACCTGGAGAGAACATGTAAACTCTACCCAGAAAGGTCACTGGGCTGGAATTTGAACCGGCGACCTTCTTGCTGAGAGGCATCAGCTCTACCAACTGAGCCACCGTGCTGCCCAGAAAAATATCCATCTGTTTCAATTAGTTGTTTGGATCAATTCAAAAGTAAATACAAGTTCCTTGATTTGTCTTTTACACTGACCTGAACAATTAGAATATCCCTACACTGTTGTATTCCTGGGAATCATAAAAAGGCTTATTACATTTAATCACACAACCCTATATTGATTTTCTTCTTTATTATTTACATTCAGAATTCCCCGTGGTACAAACTAAACACCTGTGATGCTCCCAGGGAGCTAATTTCATTTATTTGGCAACAATATCTTAATATTAAATCCCTGTGGACAATCTGTAGCGTACCGGTTTAGACTTTAGAGACCTAGAAGCTCTAATAGCCACTTGAGATTTTGTCTCATATTGTTTTAGGGCACAAAACACTGAGCCAGGTGGATTTCACATGAATTATTTGCACGTGTCAGAAATTTAGGATGTGCTCACTTSGAAGTTTGAGTTTAAGCTGTAACTTCCTGAATTCTGGCCAGTTTAACACAATTTTTTTTATTAGTTTTCAAATGAATTTAATATGACATCTGAGATAAAACCCATCCAGCATGACAAAGGATTTATTTTAAATTTATTTATTTTTATTTATAACTAAGGGTATTTGGGTAATACAAACACACATATACTGTCATTAATAGTTTCATATTCTTACATAATTTGTCCGTGACCAAAACCACAAAAGAAAACAAATCTTTATCATTTTTTTTGCCCACCTGTAAAAAATTATTCAGGGCATAAAAGTTTTTTACTTCATAAAACAATGTAGTTATTGTTGTCTTGTAACTTGCCTGACAAACTGTTTTCCCCCCTGACTGTCCTGTGCAGTCAGGGACAAGATGTTTACCTCACGTATCAGGATGTGTCATCATTCTGCAGGAGCAGAGACAAAAAAACAGCTCATTAAAAGCCTCATTAGGCTGAAACTTTCCAGCTGTCAGCAAGGGACTAAAAACACTTCAGACGTTGATTAACTTTGTTAGAATGAACAAGTGTTTACATATTTATTCTAACTTAGTATCTAACTTTTCAACTAACTTTTTCTATTTGAAAGAAGCAAAATAACACTAAACATTTTTTTTAAATTTGGATCTGAAATGTGCAGAAGGGCACTTAAAGTGCCTGTGACATGCATTTAAAATATGAAAACTAGAAGAAAACATCTCAAGAAATTTGTCAAAATGCACATCATTTTAGCATAAAAACGGCAACAGAAACCTATTTTGTCACAGAAAGTGTATAATTTGGGACTGAATTTTGCATGGCCAAAGTGCAATGGGAACTCTCTTATCATACAAGTGGAAAATGTGAAACTGACAATGTGACAAACTGACAATGCTATCTTTCTGATAACGCATTCATATTATCACAAAAATTTGATTTCTCAGTCACTTGAATCTTTTATTACAGCTTTTTATGAATTGCATGCAAAAACATGCAAAACTATTACTTGTAAGCTATTTAAAATGCAAAACATTTTCCATTCAAAGCTGGCTATATTATACTGTATATAATGGGTTTGGCCTTGGATTCAGGAAGAGCAGTGTGGTTTTCGTCCTGGTCGTGGAACACTGGACCAGCTCTACACCCTCAGCAGGGTCCTGGAGGGTGCATGGGAGTTCGCCCAACCTGTCTACATGTGTTTTGTGGACTTGGAGAAGGCATTCGACCGTGTGCCAAGGGGGGCCTTGTGGGGGGTTCTCYGGGAGTATGGGGTACCGGGCCACTTGATACGGGCTGTCAGGTCCTTGTACGACCGGTGTCAGAGTCTGGTTCGCATTGCCGGCAGTAAGTCGGGCTCGTTTCCGGTGAGAGTTGGACTCCGCCAAGGCTGCCCTTTGTCACCGATTCTGTTCATTACTTTCATGGACAGAATTTCTAGGCGCAGCCGAGGTGTTGAGGGGATCCGTTTTGGTGGCCTTAGGATCGCATCTCTGCTTTTTGCGGATGATGTGGTCCTGTTGGCTTCATCGGAGCGAGATCTGCAGCTCTTGCTGGAGCGGTTCGCGGCCGAGTGCGAAGCGGCTGGGATGAAGCTCAGTGCCTCCAAATCCGAGGCCATGGTCTTGAGCCGGAAAAGGGCAGAGTGCCTTCTCCGGGTCAGGGGGGTCGCCCTGTCTCAAGTGGAGGAGTTTAAGTATCTGGGGATCTTGTTCACGAATGGGGGAAGAACGGAGCGAGAGATCGACAGGCGGATTGGCGCAGCGTCTGCTGTAAAGCGGGCGCTGTACCGGTCCGTCGTGGTGAATAGAGAGCAGAGTCAGAAAGCGAAGCTCTCGATTTACCGGTCGATCTACGTTCCTACACTCATCTATGGTCATGAGCTTTGGGTCATGACCGAAAGAACGAGGTCCCGGATACAAGCGGCCGAAATGAGTTTCCTCCGCAGGGTGGCTGGACTCTCCCTTAGAGATAGGGTGAGAAGCTCGGTCATCCAGGAGGGACTCAGAGTAGAGCCGCTGCTCCTCCACGTCGAGAGGAGCCAGTTGAGGTGGCTTGGGCATCTGGTAAGGATGCCTTCTGGACGCCTCCCTGGTGAGGTATTCCGGGCACGTCCTACCGGGAGGAGGCCCCGAGGAAGACCCAGGACACGCTGGAGGGACTATGTCTCTCGGCTGGCCTGGGAACACCTTGGAGTTCCCCCGGAGGAGCTGGAAGAAGTGGCTGGGGAGAGGGAGGTCTGGGCCTCCCTTCTGAAGCTGCTGCCCCCGCGACCCGACCCCGGATAGGCGGAAGAAAATGGATGGATGGATGGATAATGGGTTTGGGGTTCATCTTGAACAATTAACAGTTTTGAATATTTTTTTAAATCTTTTATATTCTTTGTTTTATTGATCATGATGGTGTTGCATACAAAATTGGAAAAAAAATCAAATATTCATTTTAGAATAAATCAGAAAGAAGGTGTAGGTGTGATAAAAGGATTATATTCTGATGTCTTCTGTTGAAGTTTGGCATAAAGTTACACACAGCACCTCTGGACAAAGGTCAAGTGTCTGATATAACACAAATACAACTACTAGACCCCCCCACCCCCCATTTCATTCCCCTCTCGAGCCAGGCCATAAACAATTTGACAACAGGGAACAAAACTTTTCTATAAGAAAGCAATGCCTTCATTACAGGTTTGCTTTAGTGATCAGTTCCTGCTGAAACAGATCAAACAAAACATAGGATCTGATCAACATAAAAGTACAGAGATGGAATTTTTCAATCCAGCTCTTGAGGAAAACATCACCTTTGTTCGTCCTGCATATTTTATTATCAGTGGTTTTATGGGTATTCCTAACATTAATCTTTATATCATCTTTCTTTTTATTATGTATGTTTTTTCATTGGTGGGGAACATGTTTGTAATGACTGTAATAATTTTGGATCCTATGTTAAGAGGCCCTAAATATGTTGCAGTTTTCAGCCTGGCACTTACAGACGTTTTAAGCAGCACTGCTTTGGTGCCAAAGGTTATTGACATTTTTCTGTTTAACCATCGCCTCATTTCTTACAATGAGTGTTTGGCATTCATGTTTTTCTGCTTCTCTCTTCTCTCGATGCAATGTCTGAATCTGGTAGCTCTGTCCTATGATAGACTAATGGCTATCATGTATCCACTGCACTACCAAGTGAAGGTAACTCAGAAGGTCATGTTGCGATTGATCTGTAGTTTGTGGTTCATTGTCATCTGCTCTTTGCTCGTTACAGTTGGACTCGTCACAAGACTTTCATTCTGTAGGTCTGTAATTATTGACAGTTATTTCTGTGATCATGGCCCAGTGTTTCGGCTTGGCTGCAATGATATTACACCCAGTCGAGTGATCGGTGTTTTGTTACCAGTTATTCTGCTTTGGATTCCTCTGGCATTTATCTTGGCAACATACTGCTGTATTGCATATGCTTTGTCGAAAATTTCTACAATGCAGGAAAGAGTGAAGGCTTTAAAAACCTGTACGAGTCACCTTTCTTTAGTGACAATTTATTTTCTGCCAGTTACTCTTGTGTTTGGTATAGGGAGCAAAATACACCCAACAGCCAGGATCATAAACCTGTCTTTGACCAGCATCATTCCTCCTCTGTTGAACCCAATTATTTATGTTTTTCAGACACAGGAAATAAAGCAATCTTTGAAAAAACTGATAAAGGTCAGAAGTCAGTCTAAAATTGTTGCAAAAAAATAAACTTGTTCAGCACTTTGTGTAAATTTCATGTTTTCTTTAGGTATTAATTAATTTAAATCTACATCTGTTTACATACATACATACATATATAGACTTGACTTGACTGTGTGTGTTCTAAATGGGTAAAAATTGAAACTTGTAAATCAAGTTAGAAATATTTCTTCCTAATGTACCAGACAAAACAAACACAACATTTAACTAGAAAGTAGCCAAACTCCAATTTCGTTAATAAGCTAACTGTCCAAAATTAATTTGAAGAAAAGCAACAATAAAGAGATTTTGTGTTTTTATAATAAGAACTTTTTGCACAACTCAGGTTAAGCTAAATAGGCCCTGCCTATTTAAAATGGTTAGCTACTGTATGTTTATAAYGTCAAGCTTTATGCTAAGAAAAACACAAATCTGTYCTTGACAATAAATGTTTTCTTTAATTTTCTAAAGTTTATATAAATAATGGAGAGAAATTCTGTGATTTAGTCTTGAGCAGAAGCAATAACATTTAATTGGTTGAATGTCTTAACATTGTTCCTTTTAAGAGAAATAACCTGTCTACCACTACAATGTAAATGATGTATCTGCTATATTTGTGAGTCAATAAAAATTAGAGTTTAAGTGGATATTGAAATTGCTCAAAATAGAACTTCATTGAAATGTTCTCTAGTTTTGTGAATAAATATGTTGTTGGGGTAAAATGTGTTGAACATCATTACTATGTGAAGTTATTCCATATTTAGAAACATATACGTAATAATCCAAGGTAATTTATTGAATGTGTCACAAACGTGTAGGGCACAACTACAGAGCATTCAACAAATCTTCCTATATTTCTAGTGATTTAGATTTGTTCAGCTTTATTCTCTTTGTTTTCAGTGAGCATTTTTAGTTTTTAGTAAAGTTGAAAAAGTTGGACAATTTTTTGCTCTTGGTGCCCTTATCTAACACATTCTCACTCCCGACTCGTCACATGTTGACGCTTTTCCAAGGTTCCCTCTGCGTCTTATTTTGATGTGTCGGGTACCCCCATTCGCGTCAGTTTTTGACGCACCAGGAATTTCCGTGTTCCCTCGGCATCCAGGTTTGACGCGTTGGGACACAAATATAGGGATCTTTGAATTGGGGTCCGTGGTTAACATTTGGGATCAGGGTTAAAGGTTAATTTTAGGTAGTGGGGTCAGGGATAGGATGTCTAGGGCGAATATTAGGTAATTTTAAGCTTTGGAACAGTTGACGTTAATTTCCTAAACTTTCTAAAAATGGTTAATTTTAGGTAGT